TTCTTGAGCATTTCATTTGTTATTTTTGAAAGGCTAGAGGCTTTATTGTCTGGTAAATGTTTTAATGTTATTAACCATTCATCATAAGTAGGATGGATATCCATGATACCCGCATAGCAATCATTGTCGATGTTCTCAATAGGATCATAGTGACATTCCCAATTGTTCCAATTTAGATTGAAATTATGTGATTGAATAATTGATATGTCTCTATTTGTTGATCCAGCAATGTTTTGAAAATGAGAAGCTGTTTGCATTTTAATTTCATCAGAAATTAATTCTAAATATTACTCTAGTGTATCTATGTGAATCATAATTCGATTGAGAATAATTGCTTTTCTATTTCTTTCAAGACAAGAATCAATCATTTTGGTGGGTGAGTTTTTGAAGTTGTCATTTTGTTTTTTAATGAATTCTAAGATCATTTCATTATTTTTAGTTCTAGAGATGATCTGTTGTTTGGCTTGCATAGGTTTGATGATGTCAGATTTTAGTTCAGATAAATAATTTAAAGGACGGTTTGCTAAAAAATGACCATCAATCGAGGCTGTAAAAATAAAGTATTGGGAAGCTATTATTAGTAGTGATTTATGTTCATCGAAGAAGAGAGGGAAAAGAACGAGTGGCAAAGGTAATTAAATTAGAAATTTGTTAATTTTATAATAAAGTTTGTATAGTTTTTAATGTGTTTGTAGATTGAAGAATTGGAAAAAGTGAATAGAGAGTTGTGGCATGAGGTTGTGGTTTGTTTAGGTATATGTTTTTTAGTAGAAGTAATTACTGTATTGATGAAAAAATCCCAAGCAGCATTGAGAGTAGTTTGAGATTCACTGAGGTTATGAGCTGTACAATTTTGGTATTTTGGATTAGTTTTAAGAATGAGATCCATTTTGTTAGCGAAAAAATCCCATTGAAGTAAAGTAGTTTTGTTGAAAAGAAAATTCTGCTTGGTGATTTTGTGTTGTTTTGAATATGCGTTAGATGATTGATTGAAGAAATTATTTTTATATAAGAAGAGGGAGATGATCAGATGAGTAGAAGAAGGATGAGTTATTTAAAATGTCAGAGGAAATAAGATCATATGCAAAAGAGGACGAAATGAAAATATAATCGATATAAGAAGAAAATGAATTAAAAGTTGATATAAAGGTAGCGGACAAGGAGAATGTGAAAGGAAAGATTGTATAAAGAAAGCTAAGTTTGATAATATTATGTAAAAAACTTTGTAAAATCCTTTTGCATTTAGCCTTGTAATTTCTAGAAATGTCAATATTGAAGTCACCCATAAGGATTACGTGAAAATTATTTTTTTGACTTTGAACTAAGAGATCCATTAGTTTGTTTTGAATATGTAGTCTATGTTTAAAAGATTTTTTGTCATGATAACTTGCAGGGAGATAGACTTGAATAATGCATAACTTAAATTTATTTTTAAATTAAAAATCTAAATGTAAAATTCAGTCGAAAAAAGAGCCTTGATTGAAAAGGTGTGAACAAAGATTATTTCTAATCAGAAGTCCAACCCCTTGACAATTTTGAAAACAATTTGAGCTGTAAAAGAAAAATTTGTAAGGCTTGTCGTAAAGGTTATTATTGAGAGATCTAGCTTGCAAATATGTGAGATAAGTTTCACTGAGGCCTAGAATATTGAGGTTGAAATTGATAAAAAATTGTTTGATTTGTTGAAGTCTATTTGAGGAAATACAGCTTTTAGACGTTATATGTAACAATTGAAAGTAAGTTGAGATTGCTAATAATAGAGAAAAAATTAGCATTTGTTATATTATTAATATTAATAGGAATCGTAGGAGACATTCTATTAAAATTTTTTGTTTAAAGATGTACACTTATTAAGAAATATTACTCGCTTGAATGATTAGACCGATAGTGGCAATCAAATTTCTCATTTCATTCTTAATTTTGTTAACGGATGATTCGACAACACCAATTCTTTGAAGATTGTTTGAGGAATTTGTATTAGGGACAGATGATTCATTAGAAATGATAGGTGTTTAATTTTCTTTGGTTATTGGAGGTGTAGTATCTTTAATCATAAAGTATTCATCATGTGAAGGAAATATGTAATTTGGTCAGTAGCGTGTTTGACGTCATATTTGATATTATGTATGCATTCAAGATAGTTAAGTCTAAATCCTATGTCATCTTCATTTTGTTGGTATTTGATTATATTATTTTTTAGGAAAACAATTTCAGCGTTAATCGAGAGTAGCTTATTTTCGATGTTATCCAGTCTTTTCTGAACAATTTTCAGAGCATCAATAAGGTTAGGGTAACTGTGGAAGGTTGTTTGTCATCGTTTTTAGGAGGAGTGTTTTTAAGAGCATTGATATATAGCGTGACATTCTTGAAATTATTACAGGTATTGTTATGTGATAGATGATAAGACTTTGATTTGAAGCGATCGTAGAGCGGTCTGTAAGGATTTGCTGGTTTGCGGTTAGTACAATCTTTGAATTTGTGACCAGGAGCACTACAACTGCGACAATGTTTGTTTGATGGTTCCATCCAGTATAGTGTTTTCCTTTTAAATTTCTGAGACTATGCCACCGCAGCATCAAAGTTTTCAAGTAATGCGAAATTAATAAATGCATAAGGTCTAAGTCTGTATTGTTGATCACGTGGTATAAAGTACGTTCTAGCTTTGATGTGTACAAGAAAATCTCCTAATTGTTATTGATCAGTATTGAAAGGAAGATCAGTTAGTTTTAATTCAAATTGCTGTCTCAAAGCGATTTACATTGGATCTAGATCAGTTAGTTCTATTCTGAGTGTAGTTTCAAGAAATTTAATAGATCAGAAGTTATTATAGAAAGACTTGATGATGTCAGCATTTTCAAAAATAATGAATGCGATCTGCCAGGGGCCTCAGACGATCTTGGAGAATCTGGTGATCGCTTCATATTTGGAGAAAAAATTTCATAGTACATCAGATTTGACAAATAAGGGGGTGTTCGAGACTTTAAGTATCCTTCCCTTTTCGGCATCTTGTTTGAGCTTTTTTGCTATAGGATCAGCAATAGTAAATATAGGGTTATGTTGTGTTTCTTATACTTTTGTGATAGCATATGTTAGATCTTTCATTGATTGAAAATAGACTGAAAACTTTCTAAATTTGGAAATGTAAGTGGATCCTTGGTAACTATTGAATTGTACAAATAGAGAATTGATAAACGTGCATTTTTCAGCTATGTTTTGCTTTTTATGTCTGACGCATTATCTGTTGTGAAAAAGCGTGTAGGAGCAGTAATAATGTTGTAAGAAGCCCTTGATTTTCTTGGTCATGTGACCTTTATTTTGTTCAAGTTCTTCAGATCAAGATTGTTTTTTTTTCTCTTTATTAACAGGAGGAAGTATATAGTCAAAACCTGTGTCTTCAAATACGTTGTCACTTTTGGGTTAGACGTGCATAGAGTCATTGGCGGTTTATTTTAGGGTGGAAGTTTAAAGAGATGTGTTGGTAGAAGTAGTATCAATATCCATTTCCAAGGGCACTTCATTAGAGGAAATATTGTTATCAGTAATTTGTTCAAATAAAGGTTCTTTGTTGTCCATTAACATAACGTTTGTAATAATATTTTCAATTTCTGGGTCAATAGTGTCTTCGTTTAGAGGTGTAAAAGTTTTTTTTTTTTTTTAGGAATATTGTTATCGTTTGTATTGGTTATTTTTGAAGAAGAGCTTGAAATGTTGGAGTTGTTAACTGGAATATTTCGATTATTTCGTTAGTAAGTATTTTTCGTTTGTTGTTTAAAAGAAGTCGCTCTAATAATTGGCATAATTTTTATTTGTATCGATCTTTTTAGTGAAATAGACGTTTAGAAGAAAGAGTTTTTTTTGATTTTGGATCAGCCCATCTCGAAATATGTGCGATCGAATTTCAAAATCTGGACTTTTTTATTTAAAGTAGAATTTATTGATTTATAATTTCAGCCGATAATACAATTGTGATTATCTCAAGATTGGATAATCCAAAATCAATGAATGTTAGCTCATTGGATTCGTTTAGTCATGAGGAATTGAATGGTAGCTTATTTATACGAATCGGAGCGATATTAACCGAAATCGTACATCTTTTGTTTTTTTTGTTTTTTTATATATAAAAATCATATGATTTTGACCATTTCGACTTTTAACCTCCAATAGTCGGAATGATTTCGACCATTTTAACCATTTCAGATATCTGAAATAATTCATTTTGACTTCATATATAGTTGCTACGCTATGAACTAATTAAATTTGTAACTACAAGTACTAATATAATGATAATAATAAGAATAATAGAGATAATAATTATAATAGAAATAACTAGGGAAACGGCTTACCATTGTTAAGTCTGGAGCTAGGGTCTTAACCAATAAAGAATGATAAATTGTGTATCACGTGATTATTTTAAATTTTTAATTTGATTAAAAAATAAATCAATATATGTCACAAAAATACTTACGGAAACACTTGAACTCTAAAGTAAGATGTCGATCATTATCTTCATTACACTTTAGGTTTAGTGATATAATTTATTTTGAGTTTAGCAGTATAGTTTAGTTGTATAGTTTATTTGTTTTATTTATTTGAGTTTAGTATAAAATGTAAATAAATAACATGCTATTTTTACTAATTTAGAATTTATACTGATCAACTCAGACTAATAATAATAATAAAAATAATAAAAATAATGATAATAATTAAAATAATAGAAATACTAGAAATTAGATTCTAGGGATCCAGTAAATCTTAAGAATCCTATAGATCCTAAGAATCAGGAAAATCCAGAATTTTGCAAATCATTTGGCACAGTATTTGTCAGGCTTATTACATCATCTCACTGATAATTAGCATAGTAAGATAGATTTCTGAAATTGACAATATGATCTAAATTTAAAACTTTACTATTTTCAGATATATTCATAAACAATCTGTATTAGAAAATGAAATCTGAATTAAAACTTATGGTAAATATATCAAATTATAATTGATGAATATTAATTTAAAGTGAAGGTTTCATCATTATTAGCCTTTTTAATCATACTTATAGCTAACAAACTAAGACACTATCAGAATACATAATGTTTATTAAAACAATCCTATTTTAATGCTAATTATTTCAATAATTATAACTTTTTATTTGCAAGAGATCTACTTCAAATGAAAGACTATATAAAATTTATAATCAGTGATATAAGATATTCTGTTGTCTACTTATTCAAAAATTGAGTCAACCTAATGCTTATTCTTCACAAAATATTATTAAACAAAAAACTATTTTTATTTCTACTTTCATTTGAACTGAAAATTCATATTTATTAAAAGCAAAACTATTTGAATGTAGTACTACAAAAAATTAGTCTATCTACTCTAATACTTAACATAGCTTGAAGGTAAGGTTGCTGAATGAAATTCAGAGTTTAGACAGATGTCTAAATGGTAAAAGTAAAACTTGGTTAAATTATATTAAAATCTTATTAAAAAATCTGCAAAATTCAGAAAAGGTAAAACTATATCAAAACTTATAAAAATGGTGAAACTATATCAAATACTTAGTAAAAATTTAGCGAAATTAAAGGTTTAGATATTTAGCCAAATCCAAATGAGTTTAGACAAGTAATCTTACTTGAAGGTTTTTAGTTACATTTTTATAATATACTCTTTAATAGCAATAATAAAAATACTTTACTTACTAAAGATAGCACTTTAATTAAGAAGTTGTAACTCAGTAAGTTACAACTTGAGTTGTAACTGGTTGCAATTCCTTGCAAAATTTATTTTAGTATAAAAATTCATAAATAGTTGTAATTAGTTAAAAATTTTAAAATTAATTACAGCTCTATCTTTATTACTTACAAATAGATTATTTTATTGTGCTAATTATTTTATTCACAGATTCTAATCTTTAAAAAAAAACTTTATAAAAAATTAGATTCACTTGCTTTGGCAAATAATTAACTACTTTAATTGAGTGAATTTAAGAATAAAATCATTATATACATATATAGTTGTTACTTAACAATCAATACTATAAAAATGTGATCACAAATAATATAATTCGATCTATTATAACTAATCCTTTATATGAATCTAAAATTTATATTACTATAATAGTAAATCAAATTCATACTTATAATTTAAAATATCAAAAAATCAGTTCTTCAAGCTAAATATATAAAAAAGAATTTACATCTTTATAGTAAAACAGCATACCATAAAGAAGATACTGTCATTATATATAAAGGTTAAAATTGATTTTAATTTTAGAATCTGATTTTATTCATATTATGAAAATTGGAATTAGTTATATATCAATTTGAATCAATAAATCAATAAACTGGATAAAACTAATAAATGATAAAATGAAAAACTGATTATTAATATACTTTTTAACTTGTCATTACTTTTTTGTAACATAATAAGATAATGAATAATAAAAATAATAATAATGTAGATTAAATTAATAAATAATTAATTTAAAATTTAATTGTTCAATTAATATATTTATTATTTATTATTTAAATGTTTAATTAATAAATTAATAAGTAATTTCATTACATTATTAAATTTCTTGAGGCAAAAACATTTTAAAATGAGTATTATTGCATTTTAAAAATAATATTTTATTTACTAAATCAAGTGATAATCATGTTCATTTCACAAAAATATGATTTTCAGTATCAGAAAATAATTGTTCATTTGGCACTGAAGTGGCTGAGATCGAAAGATATTTCTTTGCAAGTTGCATCAAAATGAGAAAATTATCCCTATGATTTACCTATTAGGTTAAAGAATTATCTTTAACTTTAATATTCTTTTGTATAGCGTAATACTTTATCATCATCATCTGTAATCATTTGTACTGTATGTAATCACCTTCAAGATCCATTGTCATCATTATTCTGATTCTTATCTTCTATCAGTTCTGTGTCATCTGGAAAATGACGACTTAATTTTAATGTGTTATATTTTGTTTTTACTAATTGAAATACTTTATCACATTCATCTAGAGTTGGCCAATTAAAATATTTAAATCTCAGATCAAAAAACATGATGATTAAAATATTATGTCAGAACAGATCATAATTCATCTAATGAAAAATAAATTGCAGCTTGAATTTTTCAATCAATCCAGTAGTATCACTGATAGTAAGTATTTAATTTGATTTATATTTTCAATGCTTTCAATCCTTGTTCATTTTCTAACTGGTTCCATTTAAATTTGTTTTCTTTGGCTGTGAATTTTTATTCTTTGATGAAATTATCAATATGCATATTGCCATTATTGTCAAGTACCAGCAGTAGATATGTCATTATCAGTTATTTTATTATCACTTTCTTCATAATTTTCTCTGTAAATAAGATTTAGATAAGATTCAATTGTATCATCTTTATCTGATCTCAGAACAAATTGTTTTTTAAGAGATTCTATAAAAGGATGAATAAAATTAAAAGTAGGATAGCTTGTATTACACAAATGCTAAGTCACAATTTTGATCAGTTCTAATAGCTTTACAATATTTTGTATAAACCTACAAAATAAATAAATAATAAGAATTAAAAATTTAAATTGTATTTAAAATATGAAATTTATCTTTTTTGTATATTAAAAAATAAAATGAGGCAATTGATAATAGAATAAATATAAATTTAAATAAAAAATTTATGTATTACTCTTTTTTTCAAAGCTGTTCTAGTTTTTCACCTTTTTTTTGAGAAATATGATCTGTTTCCGAAAGAAGCAAAATTAAACAAATTTCATTGAGTTATGTAATTCTAGAATGTGCTTTTAAGTCAAATAGGTAGAATTCTATTATGTTTTGATATATATTAGAAGATCGAGAGGACTATGAATAAAATCTCTTTCAACTTAATTATTTTGCACTTTACGTAAATGTTGAATCTGCTTAGAAAGCTAAAAAAAGGTTTGCAAACTTTTGATACAATGATGAATAGCTTTACATTATTTCAGTCTCTCTTAGACTGATAATTGTAAAGTATGCACTGCACAAGGTTGACATTCTATACTGCTAATATAATTATTATTTAATAATCTTATTTCCTTCATCATATTAGAATAGTTATCTGTAAAATGGTAAAAACTATTGTTTGAAGACGTCATTTAGAAATTATTTTAAATAGTTCTTTACTAATTACTTCTCCAGTATGTAGATACAGAAGATAGTTATAAGAAATAAAAGCTTCTTGAAACTTAAAATCAGAAAATATCCAAGAAGCTGTAATATCTAAATAACTATGTCAGAACTTTGCAGTCTATAAATCAGTAATCAAATGAATGCTTATTACGTTACTTTAAAGTAATAAGCTAAATTAATTTTACTTCTAATTATATACTTCATGTATTAGCCTTTTAGCAGTTTAACATATGAAATACAGAATTCTGATTCACACGTGAAAATACAATCACGAAAAACTTATTCTCCAAAATATAAAGGAGCAAGACTAAATGAACCATAAATTGTATTAATTTTCTCGCTAAAAAGTCTTATTTTTTAATTAAACATAGTGGTCTATTGTTGTATTATTGTAATAATTGGTAATTTTTGTTTTAATCAAATTTTGGCTAATAAATAAATTAGCAGCTATTAGTATAAGTTAGATTCTTAAAATTCAATAATAATTAAATTTGAAATAATTGTATCTCGCCATATTTATCCAAGAGTTGAATATAATTTTTCTTAGTTATATTATAACTATCTCATAAATGATTTATCATACTTATTATATTTTCACCTTTTTGGATATATGCATAGGGTTTTTTATTAGTTTCTGAATAATTAAGCTTATATATTTTACAATATACTAATTCAAAGTAATTTTCGTCTTTTCAGAAAAAAAAGTATGACTTTATTATTGCAATTGACCACCACATTAGAGTTTTATTTTTTTGTTTATTATTTAATTATATAGAAGTAAAATCGGAACCAGTAAAATAGATAGTATTAGTATTATTATCAGTATCTAAAACTAATAAAAATAACATTTTTTTTATTAAAATAATGATTAATGAACTTCGAGATTATTCTTGAAATATAGATTGATCAATATCAAAAAATAAATCAATTAATCTTGAATGAGGCATTTAGTATTTAAGCTACTAATAAACCCTACAGGATTACTAGGATTAGATATTTTTTTATTATATATTGAAGAGAGTAACAATTTTTACTAAATTTTTTAAAATTTTTTTTATCTGAGAATTACTTTTTTAGTATCTATTATAAAATTAATATAAATATTATAATAATACATAATAATGTATGTATGTGATTAATTTTCAAATGAAAATGACAAAATATACTGTTATTTGTACTCCTATACTATAAACTAATATAAAACTGGTTATTAATTATAAATATAATCAGTTATTGATTTTACAAAATTCTGAACTGATTTTAATCTGATACAATAAAAAACAGTTATAAATCCAATATTGATAACTGGTTCTAACCTCTAATTATGTATATACTGTCAACTCTTTCTATAGCGAATTTTGATATAACACATTTCACGATATAACAAATCTACAGTGTGATACAGATTTTTAAATATAGAAAAACCTTATTACACCGAATTTATTAAACTAAAATTCATATTACGTTTAACAAATTTAAGTGTGTGAATATGTATTATATAAATGCTCCTTTATATAACGCATTTATTTATAATGAAGATTTTTTTTAATACAACGAAGATTTATAAAATTAATTTTAATAGAAAAGATTGTGAAATTTTGTAATTTTATATTTTAATAAAGTTAACGAAAGATTTTTTGTATCTTAATAAAGCTAACGAAAGTGGTTTGTGTAATATTTTGCAATTTTTTTTGTAAATGTTTCTTTGTTTCGCATGTTTCGCAATTTTTTTTTCATATTTCTTTAACATAAGAATGCCAAAAGTAAGTTCTAGTAATGAACCTTTAAAAAAAAAATGAAAGTCTCTAATTGCTATACAAAAAAAAGAGATTTGTTTGAAAAAACTTCATCCCCGTTACTAAAACAAAAAGACCTAGCAAACGAATATGAAGTTAATGAGAATATAGTTAGTGACATTTTAAAAGAAAAGGACCGTTGGCTTGCTGTAGACCCTGAATCATATAAAGCTAGGTTGAAACGTGAAAAAAGGCAACCTTTCCTTTTATTATGAAAGCTTTAACTCTTTGGGTAGAAAATGTGTTCCAAGCTGGCCTCATTATAACTAATAATATTCTTTTGACAAAGGCTTTAGGGTTTGCTTTTTTGTGTGGTGAGGATAAATTTAAAGGTTTCAGTAGATAGGTAAACAATTTCAAGAAACAGTATAACTTACGGCAATATAATATATATGGTAAAGCTGCAAGTATATCACTTAATGATCTTGATACAATGCGTAATGAAATTCATAGCATTTTTAAAAATTATAACCTCAACAACATCTTTAATTGCGATGAAACGGGTTTATTTTAGAAGATAAAACCCAGTCGTACAATATCAAATGGTCAAGAATCTGAAACTAAACAATCAAAGGATTGTGTAACTGTCCTACTTACATGTAATGCAACCAGGAATGAAAAGTTGGCTCCTCTTTTCATACACAAGTATGAAAATCCTTGGGTCCTGAAAATATTGATAAGAAGACCCTTCTAGTTGAATATTACTGGAATAAAAAAAGTTGGATGCAAGTATCAATTTGGAACGAATATATTAAGAACTTAATAACTGAATAATAAGGCAAAATCGAAATATTCTTCTCCTCATTAATAATGCCTCAATACATGCTCTATATGAAATGACTTAATTAACAAATATTACCATCAAACACCTTTTCCCAAATACTACAGCGTATCTTCAACTTTGTGATCAAGGTATCATTAATAGTTTTAAGGTAAGAAACATATTTGATTTAAACATTCCTATATTTTATACTTTATTTATACTTTAATTCAAATTTAACTTGTTTTAGGCATAATATCGAAAGTTCTATCTACAAAATCAGGTTAAATCTTTTGACTATTTCAATGATTATCATATTGAACCTGTGGAAATTAATATTAAAAAGTGCATAAAATATGTTTCCTAAGCATGGAATAATGTAATACAAGAGACAATTCAAAATTGTTAGTTGAAAGTAGATATTCTGCCTACTGACGACAATGATAATGATGAAGATGAAACCTCTACCGATATACAACTTGAACTTAAACATTTAAAAGGGAATTGGAAGAAGTTCAAGTTTTAATTGATAAACTTGTTTTTAACGATCCTTTAATCACCGAAGAATTTGTTTGATTTGATAAATCTGAGATCACAGGAGAAATGATATCTGATGAAAAAATTGTAAAAGCAGTTTTACCTAATGAACAAGAACAAGAAAATGAAGGAGAAGAGGATCCTTTACCGACAATTACTCATAATGAAGCTATTGATGCTTATAATAAAGTAATTTTATATTTGAAATAATGGGAGGAAATTTTCAATATGAACAATGAAGAATTAAAGCTTATTAAAAAGCTTAAAAAAAAGCTTTGAAAAATCTGTTTATTTAGGCAAGACAAACCAATCTCAATAAGTTTGTTACTATGATTGAATAATAGTAATTTTTTTTAACGTAACAATGTTAATATTATAATTGTTTTTTTAACGCAAAGACGTTAATATTTTGAAGAGTATTTTTTTTACGTAACAAATGTAATGATATAATAAAATAATGTCATAGGAACACAAATTTTAATGCATTGACTTAATAATACCCCCTGCGATAGTGTTGAAATTGTGTTGAAAAATTCATATCATTTTTTATAATTTTTAACCAATTTGTGTTAAACTTGTGTTGAAATTCCTATTGTTTTTTTACCAAATTGTAGTGTCGTTTTTTTATAATAATTTATATTTATCATCCAGGGGATGAATTATTATTGTCTCTAATTTTATGATCTGCAATATTAAAAAATTCGCTTAAATTATATTTGTGTTGATCTAATTTTATAAATAATACAACAATTGAATTGTTTTTGGAATCTGAATCAGAATTTTGAACACAAAGAGTTTGAGCA